AGAAGAATAATGGTACATTTAATAAGAGTAGAATATGTTAATTTTCTATATAAAACTTACATTTTGCACGTTACTGTTGTTAATAAAAGTACATTTTGTGCTTCCCAACTCAAGCTCAGTGCTTTACTGTCAAATGTGCATTAGCAAGAAATAAATGTGTAATATTACTGGTAACTACACTTATTAATGCAAAACTATAATCATTTTATGATTTAATTATCATTTTTTTATAATTTTTAATACCCCCCATTAGGGCTCCAGACTAACATTTGAGAGCAGTGGCACCAGCGCCACTAAGTTCTACAGATGGTGGCATCAGGAGCAGATTTGGTAGCGCTTGGGGTGGTGTGCGGGAGTATTAAAATATAGATCATTTAATCATAAAATTACTATTGTTTTGCATTAATAAGTGCAGTTACTAATAATATTACTTGTTCATTTCTTGTTTATTTTTCTTTTGTTTATTGTTTATACAGATTTGACAGTAAAGTACAAAGCTTAAGTTAATATGCATATAACATTTACTTTATTAACAACAGTAACAGGTGCAAAATCAAATTTTTATATAGAAAATATATATACTCCACTTAGTGTTGTCAAAAGAACCCGGTATTTCGGTACCAAGTCGGTACTAAAAAAATGAAAACGTTACGGTACCAGGTTTTTTTAAGTACCGGTGGTACCGAGTACCCGGTCAACCCGGTTCTTGATGCGCTATCCGAAAACTATCCTCTTCCAGTGTTGCCAAGTCCGCGGTTTTCCCGCGGAATTGGGCTGCTTTAACACTGTTGCCGCGGGTTGTTTTTCATGTCCGCGGGTTGAAAAACGACCCCATTAACGTGATATTTAGCCCCTGGAATGCATATTTTATCAGGGGAACCCCGCCAAAATTGTATTGGTACCGAATACTGAAATTTTGGTACCGTGACAACACTAACTCCACTCTTATTAAATGTACCATTATTCTTCTAGTATGTGGAACTGACCAACTTCAGTGATTGTGTGATTTAGTAGCAAATTGAAGAAAAGTTTGTTTTTTAAGGCACTTTGTGACTTTTCTATCTTCATACACAAAAAAAGTGTAAAATTTTGATAAAATCTGATCTCTTGATGATTTGATATTTTATAATAGTGATTTTATCATTTCAAAATATAGAGAAAAAGTAGAAATTAATGTCTAATAAGCCAATGCGTGCTCCTCTGCTGCCGTCTACTGGTTATAATTGTGATTTGATGTATTTTTTATTTTATTTTACATAAGTGTTTGTTTACCACGAAGTATATTTTGGTCATCCTATTAAAAATAACATTCAAACTGGATAATTTTAGAGCTTTAAAGTGCTGGAAATAGTTGTGTGAAATGCTTGAAAGTAATTGAAAAGTGCTTGAATTTCTCTCTCAAAAGGCTGTACAAACCCTGAAATTAATAATGTAATGCATTCGACCATTTCTACCACAACACCATGGTTACAGTTAGCGTTACCGCTTCTGGTTTCCTGACGTATGTCAGCGCTGTTTATAACAAAGAATTCTGTGCAGAATTTGAATGATTGTCACTAGATCTCGCAGCAACCTTATCATTGTGCAGCGAGTTCAAACACTTCTCGCTGGATCTGCGCTGTGCTGTAACAGTGTCGCGAAATCGACTTTTGTTCCCGAGTAAAGCTGTTCTGAGCTCTCAAAAATTAGTCGCACCGGCAGAAAAAATGGTCGCAAAATCTGGAGCCAAAGTCTGGAGCCCTGAGAATGAAGTCAGTAAAACTTCTCTTTACCTTTACCTTCACCACTCAACCATTTTAAGAACTGTAAATTGTTCATAAGTTCTATTATGTTTTTAATAGAATAAAATTTTGGGCAATATACAGACACATTAGTGAAGCAGGTAAGGGGTTGATGGGTGTTGGGTTGATGGTCTGGGCATTACAGGGGCTGGTAAACATTTGGATGGGTGTTCCAAGGTGTGAGTGGAGAAAAGGAATGAGAAGAAAACTAGTTTAGCAGGATTAGAAACAGACTGTGAGAATTTAACTATGTCTGACTAAACAGATGAGTCTTCAGTCTAGATCTACAGAGAATGTGTCTGAGAAACTTTGCTAGGTGGGTTTTTTCAGTCTTAAAACCCCTGTAAGAAGATGCTCTTCCTCCTGTAGTGGATTTAGCTGTCTTTGTATATCAAAAGATGAGAGTTTTAAGTACTCAAAGGGATGTCTCACTTAATGAAAATTATATAATCATTTATTCACCTTTATACATTTCCAGTGTTTTTTAAATTCTTCATGTTGCAAAACACATTCAGGTTTGATACGTTTTTTGGTGAATTATCCCTTTAATGTTTTGGGTCAGTATGCATGTATAGATAAATAGATATTTTATATTTTAAAGAGATATATATATATA